AGACGTCGAGCGACCCCTTGTAAAACCAAATTGATTTTTATGAAGTAATTTATTTGTATTAAAAAAAATTAACAATTGATCCAAAATTATTTTTTCAAAAATTTTACTGAGAGTTGGTAGTACAGAAATAGGTCTATAATTAGCGGGGTCCAATGTACTACCAGATTTAAATAAAGGTATTACTTTACCATACTTCATTAAATCAGGAAACACACCAGAATCGATACAAGTATTAAAAATAATAGCAAGATGAGGTGCAATTAAATCTATTATGGACGCAATCACTGTAACGGAAATCCCCCACAAATCTGCGGTTTTCTTTACATCAATGGTTTTGAAGTATTTTACAATATTATGCGGTAATACTTTTTCAAATCTAAATTCTTTTAAACAGGTATTAACATTCTGTTTAAGTAATGATTCGGCGACAGTTGGAGAAGCATTCAATGACTCTGTTGTCAAGATAGGAACATCAGTGAAATATTTCTCAAACACCGCTGCAACTTCTTGATTTGATTTAGTCAATTCATTATTAATTTTTAATTGATAGTTTGAATTACGAGGTTTCTCTTTACCGGTTTCGCTGTTAATTATACTCCACGTCATTTTAATTTTATTCTTAGCTGTCTTAATTTTGTTACTAATATGTAATGATTTGGCTGTGGAGCAAACTCTTTTAAACATTTTAGAATAATTTTTTACATATTCTTTAAAAGCATCGGAAAGATTATACGATCTTTCATGGTAAAGGTCATATAACCTTCGTCTGCTTTTATGAATTCCTACTGTCGCCCACTCATTAAATGCCTTGCGACTGTTTCTGGAGAATGTTTTAGAAGTGAATGTTTTATTAAATTCATTGTTTATAAAGGTATTTTTTATAACAAGATAACAATTATATTGTTATAAAAAATATACCTACATACCTATATTAAAAACCTAGCCTGTAAAATTATAATTATAAATCAGAAAACAGAAAAATAACCGACAATTATTGAAAACCACAAGAGTTGATTAATACAATTATATTGTAGGTATGTGTTTAAAATGCATCGTTTTATTTTAATAATTATTAATTCAATTTTATTTTTTTAAATGTTGGTTTTATCGTAAAAAAGTAAAGATAGAGGTTAAATAAAAAATGCCGTATAGTGGTCGAATAAAAGATCCGTCGTTCCGTAGGTATCAAAAGTCGGTTAAGAGAAACATTGTGTGTCAACAAACACGTAACAAACGACTAAGTGTAGCTGTAGTAACTTAAAAATTGCTACAACCCTAATGTCTCAACCGGTGTGACGGCTAAACATGATGATTTCTTGTTTATCATCATTACATTATTCACCCACTACATCCACTTTTGGACTTGTACTCTTCAATGAGGGCTAATAATTTTCCACTCACCAGATGTCGCTAGTTGACACTGAGGTAAAGTTTTTTTGCTACGCAATACCATTTAATTGAGAAATAAGTTATAAATATAAGTTCATCAGTTTCTAGAGTATAATAAACAATGCCCCAGTGAAAAGCTCTTTAATTATATGCACATTTTTAACTCTTTTTTTTTTCTTTTTTTTACCTTTATGAATATCTGTTGTATCTAATTAACATAAAATATAAGAAATAGAACAGAAATAAACATTAACTTTACATTTTTCGAACATATTAACTTCCCCGCTATGCAATCTGCCAAATATTAGACCTCATTTTTAAGTGGCGCCGCTTAGGAACACCTCGTAGTAAGCCCGTGGCAGAAAAGGTCGTGGATGCGTGGATGTGGATGGGAGCGTTGTAGTCCCCTAAGAATAATCTAATGCCTCAATACCTGTATTGACTCATAAACCTTAAACCAGGGCACAACAGTTCTTACGTCGAAAATAAGAGAGTTAAAAAAAGTTAAAGTTACAGCCTATATACGTCCCACTGCTGGGCACAGGCCTCCCCTTATTTCTGAGAGGGTTTTAGGGCAAGGAAATGTCGGCCACGCTGCCCCAATGCGTGTTGGCGAACTTCACATATCTTCGAATTTTTTTTCTCTTATTTCTCAGTCATGCAGGTTTCCTCACGATGTTTTCCTTCACCGCCGAGCACGTGGTAAATCAGCACCTAAAAATTGCAATTAACAATTTCATTGGTGCCGGCGGGGATCGAACCCAGGTTGCTCACGTACTGTGAAATTTATAGCGAGCGCTAACCATTTGAGCTACCACGGGTCTACTAGAGGGACTAGAGGGCTAATGTTTAATATATTCACATTTTGATATTTATTTTTTTATTGATTATAAGAACCCTATAGTTATAGCTTATAACATAACAGTGGATTCCTTATCGTAAATACAGCATCAGAACTCCACTGTTGAACTGGAAGCAGCCATCCAACAAAGTTTGATCCTTCGCAAGATTAATGCAGGTGACCAGGTGGTCAACCTTAAACCTTTCGACGTAAGAACTGATGAAGAAAGAAACAACTTTATTTGATGCAACAAAATAGTATTTTTAATACTAGTTTTTATTTAATATATCATTGTAGCAACAAATAAGCATCCAACTCAGAATTATGATGCAGTGGGATAATCACTGCGCTGATATTCTGTCGGTGCCCTTTCCTAATACTTATGAGCAGTCGCTAAACATTAGTTTTACATTTTACATTGTTGTTTATGGGTAAAAATAAGTAAAGTGATGCACGCCCAGTGGCGGATTATCCTTAAGGTAAACTAGGCACGTGCCTAGAGTTGCAAGGTAGAAAAGGGGCGCGCGCGGAAATTTCAAACGAAAAACAAAATCGTCTATTTGATTACTCCTACATTGATCTCACTCTCCCAACACATAGTAGTTTAGGAGTTCATCGCGGACAAACAATGTGACACGTAATATTTATAATATATAAAGGTTATAATATAATTAATTTACAAAATGGGTAATTACAATTTATAATATATGGCTGCTAGAGGAGCGCAGATGAGGTGCTAGCTTAGAGCTATATATCGACATTTAATCCATCTCTGTGCACGCCTAAGGAGAACCAGCAACGCTAAGACATCGTCATCACCACAATAGCCTCAGTCATTAACTTCATGCATCTCAAAGAACAGATTACTGATGGAGAAGAAAGGTTCTCGTATCGCAGCCTCGTATGGTAAACGAAGTGTAAGCTAGATAGAGTGACGACCTGGTAAGAGAAATAATAAGTAGAGTAAATTAATTACCCGCGCCGGAACGGGGAAGATGTATGCGTTTAGGGTGAGAGGTTGTTTGTTTGTGTGTGCAAACGTATGTTCCCATTTATCTCCAATACGATTTAACCGATTGAGGTACGGTTTTCTGTAACGGGCTTGTGACTTATTGGCGATGGTTCTTGAATAGTTTATATGGTGTTAGTTCACCAGGGAGCGCTGCAATAAGCATATTTGTGCAAACCAATGTTCCCATTTATCTCCAAAACTGTTTAACGGATTTAGATGCAGTTTTCTGTAAAGTGTTCGTGAGTTCCCACCTAAACTGCTTCTCATATATCACATAATGTGTTACTGCAGTGGTCACTGCAGCCCATGGGCAACAAGCTTAAAGCAAAGAAGGCTACAAAAATGCGTTGTCAGCTGTGAGGGATAAGAGGAATGCCTGTAATAATACTGGCTCTGTATACCCTTTAGGCTGGAATACAGCGGTACGCGAGCACTGCTACTTGACAGCACAAATTGGTAAGACTATTGGTAAGCAGCTACTTACCGAGACGTACTCCTATGCAGAAGAAAATTCTACCTAGTATATTCAAAACTTTCTTGTTTCTAAGTTTAGAACTGGCTGCAGCTATCCATGAGCTGAAGTGTATTATTCATCCGTTTATCCATTACAGCCTATTAAGGTCCACTGCTGATTATGCTTGCTGCATAGTCCACTCCCATAGAGTTTATTTTTATAGGATAGGGTGACAAAGGAGCACACAGTCCACCTGATGGTAAGTGGTTGCTGTGGCCCAGAGAGATCTACATTTATTCTCGTTTGAAAATCAAAATGCAGGTGTGTTGTCACCCGTGAGGACTAAGATGGCATGCCCCTTTTCTAGTAATAAGGGTCTCCGGTTCTCTACACTCACCATACGAAACACAGCAATGTTAAACTGCTATTTTACGCTGGTATTCTGTGAGAGCGCGGTCCTTCCCCGGTCGTGCGGACCCATTCGTGCTACAGCTATACTACTAATATAGCTGAAGCATGGCTCTACCACGTAATAAATCCCATAAATTCCATTATACGGGGGATTTTGCCATAGATTGGAAGGTTGGCAACTGAAGTTTTTTATTGTTTTTAGATGAGAAAGATACTGCTGCGCTGAGCGCTGCTGCTGAAGAGGTAGTGGATATTCTTACACCGCCACCATACAATTAATGTGATCCTTCATTAACCGTGTAGTGGCGGTAGTGTGTTAGAATCTCCAATAATAATTGTTAACTTTGCGAAATTTTAACGTTGTGTTATGTTATGCAGTGACGCGATTTAAAGTTTATTAAATTTACGACATAACCATTAATTTGAGATATCGGTGTTATCAATAATTACTTCTAAGCAATAGTGCATACATCTTCGTATTTCCGCGAACTGTTTTCGAAAACATTAATCAATCGGAACAATAAAAATATATAGAAATTTGTAGCATCTGTCTTTTTTAAATTTTGTTAAAATGTATCGTATATAGGTAAATAAATTATATTTTTATATTTTAATATATTCACGAAACTTTTCTTTGATAAGCCTGATTTATGTCCTAAAATAATAGGTTCCACACCCAGACATCCCTACTTCTAAACGAAAAGCTCTAACAATTATCGTTCATCCACCTTACTTTAATATATTCCACCAGCTCGATGCCTTAATAACAGAAATTAAAGCAAAAAATAGTACGGGCAAAAAGTTAGGAGCATTGTAAACACTCGACCGATCATGACATAAGCTGCTTTGTATATAAGCAGAGGCTCTGACTGCGATCAGTACAGTCTAACAAAATGGCACGTCTAGTTGTGGTCGCATTGGCCCTTGGCTTATTTGTCTGCATCCACGCAGCCCCAGGTATGATAGAATAGAAATTTAATATTTAATTATGATTGAAAAAATTTAAATATGTATATTTTGCAACAATTCTGTTAGCATATTAATTGTTTATCCATGATGTTTCTTTTTAAATCGGCTTCAAAATAGAGGATCACTATTCAATAGAGATCAATTTCACTGTTTGTTTTTTTTTTAGATATACATGTACTTATTTCAATATATCCGAGGGTTTAATCAAATTCAACAGAATTAATTTGAACAAACACCCCTTGTGCTTGTTCCAAAAGGATCCTTTTACGTTGATCCTGTATAAGTAACTTTGATTCAGATCAGATGGTATTTGAAGACGATATTTGTTTTTAAATAATCTAATTATATAGAGTTACAGATATCGTAAACGTTTGTGCATCTGTCAGTGATCTTGTAACTTTTGAACGACTTCATGGAAGTCATATTCACACAATATTAATATTTTTTATGTATTGTTATTTACATTAAATGTATTAATATTGTGTGAATATGACTTCCATTAAACATTACCAATTCAGTACAATTTCACATATTTTACGTAACTAAAAATGATAACATCACAAAGTTATTTTGTTATTACATTTTTCTTTTCTTAGCCGAATTTTAAAAGAAGTGCAACAGTTCTTCTGTGTTTTTCAATGCATGAAACAAAATTATTGTTAATAGTGAACTTGGCTGTAATGATAGTGTTGGTAATAAATACAATTAGTACATGTCCATGGTTACCCGCATCGCTCAAGCAATGGCACGACTAACTGTACTGTCCCTACAAAACAAATTTTGTTTTGTAGGGACGATGGGTGATAGTTTTTTTTTTTTATATAGAATAATGGTGACACTCCACCTAATGGTAAGTGGATGCAGTGGCATAGACATCTATTTATCCTCGATTAAGAATCAAAATGCAAATGCGTTGTCACTCCTGAGGACTAAGATTTAATGCATCGTTTCCAGAAAAAAGGGTCTCCGGTTCCCTACACTCACCATACGAAACGCAGCAGCCTTCAGCTGCTATTTTACTCTTGTATTCTGTGAGAGCATGGTCCTACCCCGGACGAGCTAACTTAATATATATCCATAATACATATCATTATATATAAAAATTACATGTCACATTGTTTGTCCGCGATGAACTCCTAAACTACTGAACTGATTTCAATGAAATTTTGCACACTGTGTGCAATTTGGTCCAACTTGAGAGATAAGATAGTTTTTATCCTGATAAGTGACGCTCAATATATTTTTATTACGAATTTAAGGATTTTTTATATGAAGGGTCGTCGAAAAGTGCAGAACAACGTCCGCCTGGCCAGCTAGTATAATATAAATCTATCGGATACTACTAGCTATGCTAGGACAGACAGCTATGCGACAGATGGTGATTAATAATAAATTCCAGATTTATAGACCAACAAACATAATTAGTTTCGTGGCAAAAAAGGGCAAAGAATTCGGAGTTGAAGCTCATCACGGAAAGAACAGAATATCTGCCAGGCTATTTAGTACTATGAAAAATTAAATAATAATAATAATAGATAATGTTTACCACGTTCTCACTGAATATCAGTGTGAAACAGTTGAATAATGCTGTTTCGTAAAGTAAATGTAGAGAACTGGAGACCTTTTTTTTAGTAAAGAGCCATCCCATCTTAGTCTTTAGATGTGACAACGCATCTGCATTTTGATTCTTATTCGAGTATAGAATGAACATACTCGTATAAATGGGCCACAGCATTCACTTACCATCAGATGGTGCGTGTGCTCGCTTGTCACCCTTATTATAAACAAAATATGTACATGAATACAACATACACGACAACATAATTTGAACCATATTTTAGGTTACGGCGGTGGTAGTAGCGGAGGCGGTGGCTTCGGCGGCGGTGGCGGCGGCGGCGGCGGCGGCGGCGGCGGCGGCGTTGGTTTCGGCGGAGGCCATGGAGGTGGTTTCGGCGGAGGCCATGGGGGTGGATTCGGCGGAGGCCAAGGGGGTGGTTTAGGTGGTAGCCACGGAGGGAGTGGTGGAGGTGGCCATGGAGGTGGTCTAGGCGGCGGCAATGGAGGCGGCCTAGGAGGTGGCCATGGAGGCGGTCTAGGCGGCGGCAATGGAGGCGGCCTAGGAGGTGGCCATGGAGGCGGTCTAGGCGGCGGCAATGGAGGCGGTCTAGGCGGCGGCAATGGAGGCGGTCTAGGCGGGGGCCATGGAGGCAGTCACGGAGGTGGACTAGGCGGTGGAATTGGAGGCGGCCATGGTGGTGGTTTCGGTGGCAGCAACGGCGGCGGTCTTGGCGGATCTGGTGGTTTCGGCGGATCTGGCGGTCATGGTGGTCACGGCCACGGTGGACACGGAAGCGGTGGCTTTGGAAGTGCAAACGCTCAGGCCAGTGCAAGCGCTGGTGCAGGTTATGGTGGCCACAAAGGAGGTTACGGGTAAGCATTAATTTTTTTAGTATATATTTATATTTTTTATTCTAATTTGGCCTTCACGAAGCATGTGAAATTAAAGCATTAGTCTTTAATTTTTTTTTCTTTTTTCCAGGCGTTAAACATTCGGCTTTACTCCAAAGTTACTGAAAGAAGACGCCCAAGCTATGCCGTTAGCATAAATGTTTCAAAATTTCCCAATGTGATAATAGATAATTGTTCTTTATGTACATATATGTATGTAAAAATATAACGTAATATATAGTTGAAAATAATTAATTTCGTTTTAAATCAAAATTTCCAAAACTTTGTTTCCATAAAATACTCATAAAATACCAGAGGGGTAGGCAGAGACTACGGACTTCCATTTGGCACGATCCTGACACACCTCTCTCGCTTCCTCCACATTCATATACCTACGCATACACGCTCGTCGGTTAAGGGTAGATATATTCTTAATCGGGCCCATCGTCAATATATCTAAAACATTTTTACACTTATTTAATGCATAAACCACATTAAATGTTCCCGTGGTAGAGCCATGTGTAAATACACACACACACATATCGAGTATAATAATAATAATAATATCCTCCAGACCGAATTTCGGTCACGGCGGCCAATCTCAACGGAGACTAGCCATCTGCGCAGGACAGGCTTATAGTGCCCGAGTTTATGCGCAAGCACAGGTGCACTCTCTATTCCCTCACTCTCATAGTCCGATGGGATGGTAAACCGACAGGACCGGAAAGAGATCAGGTGCAGGACCAACGGCTTTAGGTGCTGTCCGAGGCACGGGGGTGAAGCACCGCCAACTTCCTAAATTTGGGTTGCTACTGAGAATTTCTTAACACAAAATCCCAATAGCTAATTTTGACCCGAACCGGGATTCGAACCCGGAACTCATGATCAGCAACCACGTCAGCAACCACCAACGAGGCAATCAAGGCAGTCGTATCGCGTATAATGTCAGAAACAATATGATTATGGTGCGGCATATATATTTGAATTACAACTAACTTAGTTATAATATAACTAGGTTAGTTGTAATTAATAATAATTAATTATTAATTACTAATTTTTTTTCAATCATGTTACTATACGAAAAAAATATAACAGAGGATACTCTGTGAAGTTTCGCTGTGTCTACTCCAGTCGGAGGAACTACATTTTGATGTGTATGAACCTCTCTATATGCTGATTCGTCTGCCATGAATAAATTATACAAACTAGATGACTAGAGGGCTAAGTTACAGACTATTATACCTTCCACTGCTGGCCACAGGCCTCCTCTCATTTCTGAGAGTTTTAGGGCAAGGAAATGATCGCCGCGCTGCCTCAATGCGTAGTTGGCGAACTTTACATGTCTTTGAAATATTTTTTTCTTATTTCTCAGACATGCCTTCAAACCAGAAAACCTTCTCACGTGTTGTCCTGCACCGCCGAGCACGTGGTAAATCAACACTTAAAATTGCAATTAACAATTTCATTGGTGCCGGCGGGAATCGAACCCGGGTTGCCCAAGTAATGTGAAATTTTCGGCGAGCGCTAACCATCTGAGCTACCACGGGTCTACTAGAGTCTAGAGGGACTAGAGGGCTAATAAAATATATTCACATTTTGATATCTATTTTTTATGGTTTCTAAGAACCCTATAGTTGTAACAACAATGGATTCCTTATTGTAAATGCAGCATCAGAACTCCACTGTTGAACTAGAACCAGCCATCCAACAAAGTTTGATCCTTCGCAAGATAAATACAGCTGACCAGGTGGCCTGGAATAACGTACCACTATACTCAGCCACACTATCTCATCTACATTGGAAACTTGAACTCGAACCTTACTCGAAAATTTAATCACTCGAAATTTTTATTATTTTTTAATTTCATTTTTTATTAATTTAAATTTTATGAAGTTACGCTATTTTGTAATTGAAGAAAAATAATGAATATATAATTATAGTACAGTTTAGAACTCAAAAATGTATGTTTCCCTTTAATTGACCAAGAACAGTTGTGAACATGATTTCACTAAAACGTCGTTAGCTTCTTTTAAAATCACTTCAATGTTTAATGTCTGAACATTGAACCTTTAGCCCTCGTCCACAGTGCGAGCCTAGCGCGGTTGCGACGTCGGGCGCGAATTATCAAACATATGAAATCGCCGTTTGCGTCCATAGTGTAGTGACTAAAGGCAGCTCTTCACGTTGGCCAACATACTGGCGAATGTGTTGGCCAACAACGATGGCCATCGTGTAGAGCGGGTGTTTAAGCTACGTTGGTACGTATTGGAATGATGGCCCACAAGTTGGCGCGGGATCCGTCTGGTGTCGGTTTTTTACAAAAGATCAAAGGGTTGTGGCAGAGTATTGGCCGCCGCGTCCACACGTTGGGCGCACGTTCAGTTTGCTACGAGCTCCCAGAGTGATTGCACGCACCTGATTTAAAGTTTATATGCACGCATCGTGACTAGTGTCTACATAACGGCAGTAACAATGACCAATGAAAAAACTTTTCGCTTTATAGAGCCATACCAAGCCGAAAATTGTTTGTAAAACACAAGTCTTTTTAAAAAAAAAAATGTTATTATACACTAGGATTTTCTCCTATATCGTGGAGGCAGTTTAGAAACATAAATTGCATAAGGACAAACATCCAGACCCGGAGAAATTATTGTGCAGGCTATACAAATACTTGTTCCGTGCGGGATTCGAACCCGCGGCCCCCAGCGCAGCAACTCATTGCTAAGCCACTACGCCACGGAGCCGTCAAGAAGTTTTCCATTTCTTTTTGATCAACCTTATCTTATACACATTCACGTTGTAGTGATTGATGTATTAATTTATTTATTGATGTATTAATTGATTTATTAAATATCTTAAAATCTATAATATCTAATATATATAAAAATCAAATTAAAAAGTGGGATACTAAAATCATGTTTTTACTGTCTTTATTATTCCCTATTCGTTACTTTATTTCGTTAATAATACTGTAATTTTTAGCTATGGAAGAGCGAAGTCACTGTGAATAAATAAACCGCAGCAGCCGTTAGCGCATCAATAATCATTTTAATAAATTCGTCCGCACATTGGCCTGAACCAAAGCAAACTGAACGACCTTCCAACGTGTGGACGCGATCACAAATTCTTGGCCAATAACTCTGGCAACACATTCGCCACTATATTGGCCAACGTGAAGAGCCGCCATAAAGGCGGACGCCTAGCGCGACGGGCATGAGCGAGATAGTGCGAGATTCATATCCGCGCGTTGTGGCCACACTACAGGCCTAGTCAGCAAACGATCCAATGCGCGGATGCGTGCGTCATTTTTTTTTGTTAAAAAATTTGTATCTTCTCTAGTGATTTTAGGTGATATTTTACTCAGGACGTAATCAAATATTGACATGGACATTCGAGTATACTCAAAGAATTTTCTAGGGTACAATCTCAATTCTTCATACAAATAAAAAAAATCACCATTTATTTGTCGGTTTTTATTTATTTCGTGCACACCCTCTCTAATGTTCAAAATCTCCCATCTCAGGATCGGACTGTCTAGTAGAAATACTAAATCCTCGTCCATGGTTTACAACAACTTTAATATATCTAAGCATACCAACAGCTCGCTCGTCACTGTGGCCAAGGCACGCGCCCGCCGTCGCGCCCGCAACCGCAACGGGCTCAAGTCACCGCGCATTCACTGTGAACGCACACTTAGACGTTTGGCCTTCACTAGTTCTAATATACCCATATTCGATGCAGCTTATATGAAATATCATAGGTAAGCAGTATCGGCCATCTCATACAGAATTGAATGACACTATACGCTTAAAAAAATACTAGACACCACAATAACGAAACTATATTTCATTGAAACATTTTTAGAATGTTAAATATATTAATAACTTGATATACTTAAAACTACGAAATATTTAATAGATAAAATTATGATAAATGATGATAAATGATAGCAAGTTATTAATTTAATTGCGTTTTCAACCGACTCCAAAAAAAGAAGAAGGTTCTCAATTGGACTGTATATTTTTGTGGGTGGACCGACTTGATGATTCATTTTTTATTTGAAAGCTGATGTTTCACATATGGTCCCATATATCATTATATTTATTTATTTTATTTATTTATTTCGACCAGCAAGGATCATAGGGTAATATTACATTCATTCAAGTTAATTCTAATACTAAAATTATTACTCATTACTAAAATTAATATATCAAATGCATAAGTATTCATAATAATATTGAATATATAATAATTGTTTAATATTAACAAAATAAAATAAATCAATGTAAACGTAACTCACAACAGACCCGACTTAATAATATATTAACAAAATCATAAATATAACTTATATTAATGATATAATAATAATAATTAATCATTTATTGCAGATGATAATTTGTTAAAAGTAGATAGTAAAATTAAATAAAAATTACTTCATATATCTGGGTTGCCTGTCCGAGGCAACGGATACATGGACATGAACATGCATCCAGTGCCTCAAAAAAGTACAATCGGGTTTCTCGCTAATTACGTTAAGAATGCTGTTGGCGCTCCCACGAACCCTGTGCATCAGTGACGCAGTTTTTTTGTGAATCAGTGCTGAAAAATTGTCTATGTGGGCGTCAACAAATATACCTGATGCACTACAGTAACGTGGGAGCCCCAGCAACAATCTAAAAGCGTTATTATAATGTATACGTAGGGTGTTGTATGCCCGCTGCGTAAATTTGACCCATAAGGCGCACGTATAGAGGGATTGGCAATAGGCCTTAAATAAAATAAGTTTTACCTCGACTGTACAACGTGAGAACCGGCGGGCCAGCATATTGCAGCGGACAGCCAGCGCCCTCCTTTCTCTTTCAATATCCTTATCATCTTTTAAATCTTCGGTAACCACATGGCCGAGGTACTTAAATTCGGTTACTCGTTTAAGTGTAACACCCCCTAAAGTTTAAAATTACGTTTCTTCGTGCCCATCTTAAACACCATGAGCTCACTCTTTGCAACATTATATTTTAAACCGTGGGCTTCTGCATAAACCTCGCATATGATCAAAAGCCGTCTGAGTGCACTGACTGACGAGCTCAGAAGCACCATG